AGTGAGAATAAAAAAAGAGTGAGTAGGAAGCCCTGGCCAGTGGCTTAGTTGGTTGGAGCATTGTCCTGTGCACCAAAAGGTTGTAGATTTGATTTCCAGTCTGGGTGACATGCTTAGGTTGTGGGTTCGGTCCCTTGTTGGGGCATGTATGGGAGGCAACTGATTGGTGTTTCTCTCTCTCATCTCTCTCACTCTCTCTCTCTCTCTCTCTCTCTCTCTCTCTCTCTCTCTTTTTTCTCTTTCTCTCTCTCCCTCCCTTTCCTCTCTCTTTCTAAAAATCAATTAAAAAATTTCCTCAGGTGATAATTAGAAGGAAAAAAAAGAAACTTAGTAGAAAAAAGGAAATGTAATAAGTATTTTTGTCAATGATTCCCAGGCAAACCGTTATTCAATAAACAAAAATGTTAACTGTAGCATTGAATGAATGTTCCCAAGATGTAATGTGAACTAAGATCCACATTAATATATTTTTTTCTATCTTTTTATGCTCCCCACCCCACCCCAAGTTTAGATTGGGGAAAAGGGGAAATTATGCATGGAAATACAGTAACTACCTCTGAATACTCCATGAAAAAACAACAGAGAAGCTACTATTGGGGTCCAGGAGTTCGTGTATCATTTTCTGCTTACTGGGAGGGCTGATGGTCCATAAAGAATTTGAGTTTCCTTCCAGTTCTGCTACTGTTATGTCTTCTTTTTCATAATTTTCCAGAAATTGCAAAGCACCCTGTATGCACACCAATACACACGCATAAATAGATCACACACACAGTGATACATAAAGAAAGTTATTACTCTTCCTCTTCACTGACTGTAGACATCATTTCTTCTTTGAAAGGAAAATGTCTATACAGATTATCTTGGTGTCCCAGTGCACTGACTCTATTCCCCGCCCAGTGACATCATCAAAGCCCAGTGGCGATGCTGCCACACCAATACTGCTATGGAATCACTCAAATTAAACAGTAAAGGTAAATCAAGTGACTTAGTGTCTTTCTCCCTTCCCACTAAGAAGAAAATTTATCAACTATTGGGAAATGTCTCTCTCGTGAGAGAGTTAAATTTCATCGCCCAGGAATCCTGGCCCTGTCCTCACCGATGTTCATCCCTCAAGGTTGGTTTTGACAGTGTGTGCTAGACCAATAATTTACAAAGAGAAAGGCCTCTGCTTACCTAATCATTTTTTAAAAAATCCTCACCTGAGAAGTGAGGATATTTTGTCCATTGATTTTTTTCAGAGAGAGGGGAAGGGAGGGGGCAGGGGGACAGAGAGAGAAGCATCGATATGAGAGAGACACATTGATTGGCTGCCTCCCACCAGGGACAGGGATCGAACCTGCAACCCAGGAACTGGCCCTTGACAAGGAATTGAACCCAAGACCCTCTGATGTACAGGCCAATGCTCTAATTACTGAGCTACACCAGCCAGGACTGCCTAATCACTTTTTAAAAATTAAATAATAAATATTATTTGTAGCCAGGATGGTGTTGCTCGGTAGTTGAGTGTCAACTCATGAATCAGGAGGTCACTGGTTCCATACAGTCATGACACAAGCCTGGGTTGCAGGATCCCCAGTAGGCGACAAGTGGAGGCAACCGATTGATGTTTCTCTTTCATCGATGTTTTTATCTCTCTCTTCCTCTTCCTTCTTCTCTCTAAAATCAGAAAAAGACATATTTTAAAAAATCTATAAAAATTATTTGTAAAGAAAATTTTAATTGTAAAAGGTAATGATTATTTTTTTAATTACAGAAGTGGCTTGGAAAATATTCAGACAACATCATATGTAAAGAAAATACAAAGTATGTCAAGAAAATATAAGCCCCCTTCTTCTACTACGACCACCCTAGGGTAGTCAGAGCTAACCAAATTCACTACATACACATGCCATGACTTATTCAACCAGTCCCTACTTGCTGAATCCTCAAACTGCTTCCCGTTTTTACTAAAACAGGGAATGTTGTCAAAAGTAGGTACCAACATAGTGCTTTTCCTATATTTTTAATTACTTCTTTAGATTCTTAGAATAGACCAACCAGTTGCCTGAATAAATATCTACCAAAACTTAAAAAATTAAAAATACTTAAAAAGGATCAACCCCTGTTGAGCTTACATTGAAATATTCTGAAGTAAAATTATGCTTATTAACACTTGCTTCCAATAATATAGAAAGGATGTCTTTGATTATCCAAGTGGCCAGTGGCTAGGAATCTGTTGTGTACAACTGATAATCTCTGAAAACTCCCCCCCTTCCCAGGCCATGGCAAAATAGCGAATAATATGACAACCCTTCAGCTCACTGAGATGAAAGCTCTTCATAGAAATCTATTATACACATTTACTTACAGTGTCACTAGAGAAAGATTTTATAAAGGCTTTAAACTTGGTATGGTCCATAACTTTCAGCTGGCTTTGCTGGGCACTCATTGTGAAAATAGGCTGGAAAACAAGAGACACAGCGCTGTGAATATTCTGAAGCTCTTCTCTGCATCCCGGGTCAAAGGGAACAGCTTTGCTCAGGATGTCACCCTCTGAGCACCCAGGGACAACTCGCCTCACAGAGCTCTTTCTGAAGTGATGATTCCTGCACCCAAACCAGAACAGACCTCTCCTTTCACAGCCTTCTGCCCCTTATTTCAAACATCACGTATTTGCTGAGAAGTCAAAATTTAGATAGGAAATGTGGATTGGCAAACTCTAACTACACGTCCTGTAGGGGGTTATCAGGAAAGGGTGTTATCATGAAAGAGTGCTGTGTGAGGTAAGGTACTTGCAGGTGAGTGAGACCTGGAGGAAGTGCACAGCCATTACCTGGTAACCTCCCAGGGTAATTGTGACCGAGACATCCAGGGGCTGGTTGATCACCCCGGCGACAGATTTGATCAAAGACATGAAGAGAAGAGGAAACCAGACAATACAGATGAGCAGGACGATGATCATGCCTCCCATGCCGTACTTCACCACTTTCTTCTTCTTCTGCCCCCGGGGCTGAGGGTATCTCTGCAACAGAAGAGTTCACACAAGGCTCAGGCCACTGTCCCCTGAGGAGCAGGTGAGGTGAACGAGTGCTCGTCTCATGGGGTTGTGACTCAATTTAGTCCTGATTCTACTCTGTTTGCTCTGAAGTGGGGGAGCAACCTTGTCCCAACCTGGGAACCAAGTTAGGTAGTGACAGGAAGATGTGGTGAGCTCCCTACACATCCCCACCACGGTGCCATGAGGGTCCAACAGGACCTCAGTGACTTTCTCCTTAAAATTGTTCTGTGGGTTTTGTTGGTGCTAAACCTCAGGACAAACGGATCAAATTCTGTGTTGAATAAAGCCTCTGGTTTTATGGGATCATGTGGGAGAAAGACATTTTACTTTAAATTCCTGAGCATTCAAAAGCGGTGCCTTTCAACTGAACCCTTCTCCCCCGCTAGTGGGTGGAAAAACATTTTTCACTTCATTAATCACGTGTTGTCAAAACAATGTTGTTCAAGGCATGCCCTAAGATCTGTAGGATCAGCACAGTCCTCTTGGTACTGTGACTCCACAAGGGGCCTCTCTCTGCTTGGGTGCTATGCTGAGAGGGGTGGGGTCAGGGGTGGTGGTAGGTGTGTGTGTCACACAAGGGACTTGTGTGACAAGAACACTTGGTAGGGCTGGAATCACTTACATTTGCTTTACCAAGGGACCCACTAAGCTCTGTATTAGAGGCTATGGGCAAGGTGGAAGGAGCCTGCTTTGCTGTCTGATATTAAAACTGTTCCAGCTCTATGTGCATATTCCTTGCTTATTAAATGTTGCTTCTCAGTGACCTATTTTCCTTCCAGGGTGACCCCTGGACTTAGGCTATATATATAATCTGGAAGCTGTCCCCCCTTCCGTACCTGGGGCTCACACTCCATTAGGATGAATTCATTTCAGTAGGTTAGGGCGAGAACAAATAATGTGCATTCTACCTGTAGGCACTGAGCTCTGGGTTACAAACTAAGAGAAAGGTCTGGAAGCCTGCAGAGACCTCTGGGGAGTTTAAAGGATACTCACTGCCAAAGGGCTCTCCAAGCTGTGGGAAGTATTATTGACTCAGTGCATGAAAGATAATGCCTCTAAATGACTCTGCTGCGAAGTTGGTTGAGGTTCATATTAAGGACAGTATTTTAATACCTTTGCATTGGAATTTGATATTATTGTATAAATTTTTCTATTTCAAAAGAAAAACTAAAATATTTAAAATTTGGAAATACATATTCATACACCACAGATTTGCTTTTTTATTATTTTCTCAATGAGGCCAGTTTAGACGATGGTCCACTTAACCCACTCCAACAGCACCCTACTATTACAAAATGGAGAGCTTGGTGTGTTAAAGGAGATCATCTATTCTCTGTCCAGAGCAGTTTGAGTCTCTTCTGCCTGTTGTGGGACCATGTTGGTTCCTCTCCCGAAGGCCAGTATCTTTGAGGCTCCCCTCGAGAAGCTCCCAGTAATCCCCATACCTCCCCCTTCTCTGCTCACCCCCCATGCATTTCCCAGGGCAGAACAGGGCCTAGACCTTTGGCCTCTCTCTAATTATGAGGCCTCTTTCCCTTCGCGTTCAAAGCAACTGTCACCTTCCTGTTCTATGCGGCCCCATCACCCCTTTCCTAGGCGAGCCAACTCTTGACCAAGAGTTCCAGTTTGCAGTTTCGGTCATGCTGCATTTCCAAACAGCTTCTTAAAGTGTTCTAGCACATCCAGTGTTGCTCAGTGGTTGAGCCTCCACCCATGAACCAGGAGGTCACAGTTTGATTTCTGGTCAGGACACATGCCCAGGTTGCAGGCTGATCGCCAGTAGGGGGCGTGCGGGAGGCAGCCAATCTGTGATTTGCATCATTGATGTTTCTATCCCTCTTTCCCGCTCCCTCCCTCTTTCTGAAGTTAATAGAAGCATGTTTAAAAAAAGTGTTTGGGGAAGTGGCTGCATGGACATCATGGTCAAATATGACTAGGAGCGGGTGGTTTGCATTGTGTGTGCTCACACCAACACTGGCCGCTCAGGAAATGGTTGTTTCTTCATAAAGTGTATTTATGAAACCCCAGGAACATATTACATTCAATATGGAAAAGTGATAATTACTGGTAACGTTTCAGTCTCTTACGGGATGAAGTAGAAACTAGTGTCAGATTCATTTAGAATCCCTAATACTTACCTCTCACATACCCAGATTTCTCAAGATGTTTTACCAAGTGTGATTTAATAGCCATAGACTTAGCATAAGGTAGAAGCATATATTTAAATTAAGATGATACATTAAAATGAGTCTTTTATTTCTTTTTTAAATTTAATTTATTGGGGTGACATTTGTTAGTAAAATTCTATAGATTTCAGGTGTACAATTCTATAATACATCATCTGTATATTGAATTGTGTGTTTCCCACCCCAAGTCAAGTCTCCTTCTATCACCATTTATCCCCCTTCACCCTGTTCTATCTCTCCCACCCCCCTTTCCCTCTGGTAGTCACAGTAATCACCATGCCATTGTCTGTGTCTATGGGTCTTTCTCCTCTCTCTCTCTCTCTCTCTCTCTCTCTCTCTCTCTCTCTCTCTCTCTCTCTCTTTCTCTCT